AAGTCCTACACAGGGACTGGGGCTTGAAGCGTAGGAACTCAAAGCCTGGGCAACCCAGGAACCAATGCATGGCTCTGTCTCCTCTCATCTTCCATGTCCTCTCGAATTGGCCAGCTTCAAACCAGAGCCGGTGGGCAATGGGCTCTGCCAATGTGGCCCACCTAGGTCAGCTTTTTCCGAGGCACAGAGCAGAATAAGGACAAGGGGGATCTAGGAGGGCAAATGGAAACAGATGGCTCCGCCACAGCCTGTTCCTCCAGGCTCTCTCCAGACTCCTTTGGAATGCCACCTGCTGCTTCCATCTCCTCCACCAAAGCACACAGGCTGACAGAAGACCATTGCTGCGTCCTTAAAACTGAAGAAATAAGCCTGGGAGCAGCCAGCCCCCAGCAAAAGGTATCCGAGGTCTCTTCTGAGAACTTTTTTGCAGAAAGCGATGGGGGAGGGGGTGTATACCCATCGAGAAGCACGGCCTGGGCTGGCAAGGTGGCTCCATGGGTAAAGGTGCTTGCTGCCAGGCCCGATGACTTGAGTTCAGTCACAGGTTGTCCTCTGACATCCACACATAAGCCATGTCTCACACATACCCACACACACACAAATACATACATGTAATTTTAAAAAACACAACCACTGGATCAACCATCAGTGAAATTCTACCATCGTCTATTTGACCAATTAATATCTATTGAGCACCTGTCATGTGACAACCACTGTGCTGGAACTAGAGACATAGGAAGTGAAGAAATAATGGCAGAACCCTGTCTTTGAATGACTTAAAGATACAGCTACAAAATGTTACATGGAAAATAAAGATCCAGTTATAAACTGTCCCAGGTGCTACCAAGGTAAATGGTGAGGGGCAGCTACTTCAGAGTTGGGGAAGGCATGCGTGATAGCGTTACAGTTGAGTTGAGAGTCAGAATCAACAACAGTATGCTTCCATGAGCCCTCTGTGATGTCATTACTCTCTCTAGTCAGAAAAGTCTTCCAAATGTCTAATCCCAAATAACTAAGGTGTCCTGCCTCGTGCACTGTCCTCAGTCAAGCAGCTAGTCACCAGCCCTCAAAATAATATTATGTGTACATGTGAATTTATCATTTAGCCTTCCTGACAATAAATGTGTCCAATTTCCAGAATGGTACCATGTTTTAGAGCAGGAAAAGTCCTGTCATCTAATCCAATTCCATCTCCTTTTATAAGAAAGTCACTCTAGCTCAGAGAAGGTAAGCAACTTCACCAAGGGCAGGCAAGAAAGCCAGATGCCACCAAATCCCCTTTACAAGGAAGAGCATAGGTGTAACCCATTTTACAGATGAGGCAGCTCAGGTGGGGAGGTTTAGAGCCTGCTTCCTATTTATCACAGGACTGGAGAGGGGCAAAGTCCAGCCTTTAACTCCGTACACTCCCAGCCTAATCATGCTAAAAGGGCTCTTCCACCAGCCCCTTCTCTCTTCCTAGGAAGAGGGAAGGTTTCTTTCCAAAGCTTCGTGTATTCCCATTGCATTCCTAGACCCTCCCTGTGGACTTCAGATTTCAGGATGAGAGGCACATCTCTGCTAAGGCTGCTGGCAGTTTGCAGCATGGTGCTGAGCTCTTTGAGAAAATCTCAAGAGCTCTCCAACCTCCCCGGCAACCCGTGCAGAATTTCCCATGGGCTGTGAATTTCTTCCTCCTGCAGCTCTTTCTTCCTCACCTGCAAAGCATGCCTCCATCTTGCCTCTCATCACTCACTCTACACTCGGTCCTCCTTAACTGGCATGCACAAGATAAGAATCAAGAAGTGAAATGCATGCAGGGTTCCTGGCATGCAAAGGGCTCCAGGGGAGAACCAGTAACACCTGGAGTCCAGTCCCTTCAGGAGGAAAGCAAAGCACAGAGAGCCAAAGGGACTTTAGACCACACTGACTGAGTGGCATGACAATCTCCTAATTGCCAAAATATTTTACTGGCTCAAATAGTTTCATTTTCAAACAGACCTGAAGTCAAACCCTGGTTAGTCTTTCCTGGAGTAGTTTCTTAGCCTAAATCTCTGTTGATGAGCTACACAGGGTGATACAGGTATGTGCCTCATAGTGTTGGTATAAGAATCAAACAAGGTAGGGGTTGGAGAAATGGCTCAGTGGTTAAGAGTACTTGCTGCTCTTGCAGACCAGAGTTCAATTCCCAGCACCCATATGACAGCTCACAACTGTCTGTAATCCAGCTCCAAGTGATTTGACACCCTCACACAGACACACACGCAGATAAAACAAAGTGCACATAAAATAAAAATAAATAAAGCATTAAATAAAGTAGGGCTGGAGAGATGGCTCATAGGTTAAGAGCACCGGCTGCTCTTCCAGAGGTGCTGAGTTCAATTCCCAACAACCACATGGTGGCTCACAACCATATATAATAAGATCCGGTGCCCTCTTCTGGCCTGCAGGCATACATGCAATAGGGCATTGTATACATAACAAATAAAATCTTAAAAAAAAAAAGTAGAAAAAAATCAAACAAGGTAGTATGTATAAAGAAACTCCAAAAATATCCACCCCAAAATTTAGTGTGAAACACCATGGCAAATGAGACATATTGATGTTTTTTAAAACTAGAGTGGCTATTAGGCTTCAATGTGGGTTTTTTAACAATGGGGAAACGATTGGTTTAAGGATATAAAACTGCAGTTGGACAAGAGGCATGGGCTCTGTGAAGTCTTGAGGTCTACTGAGAGCATGATAAATATGGTTGATAACAATATGCTGTATTTTAAAAGTTGTGAGACAGTATACTTTAAGTGTTCTCAAAACAAAAATGATGAATATGTGTGATATAACATGTTCATTGGTTTAATTTAGCCATGCCATTGTGAACATACTGTGTTGTGTATCATAATTGTGCATGACTTTATTTATGAGCTAAATAAATGAATGAAACTCTATGGGGAGTGGAGGGGGGAAGGGGATGGTGGGGGATTGGGGGGAGTGGGGAGAAGGAGAAGGGATTGACCTGTGAAATTATAATTTGTAAAAATTAAATAAAAAATTAAATTTAAAAAAATTGGGTGATACATGCAAAGAACCTGGGACAGTTTAAGTGCCCCACAAATGCTCTAAGTTATTATCACCAAAATTTTAATAACTGATGTTAATGGTCCAATAGAAATCCAATAAAAGCTATTTGTACCATTCTAAATTTTCTAGTTGCCTTGTTTTAAAAAGCCAAGAAACAGGTGAATTAAGTTTCACATTTTCTCTATCCAAAATACTACCATTCCAATATGAAATTAATATCTGAAAACTGATGTGATGTTCCACACTCTTAGACCTCACTGGTATGATTCCCCTTATAACACATCTAAATTCAGATGAGGGCTCCAAAGCCACATGGGGCTAGTGGCTACCCCACTGGACAGAGCAACTCTACAGCATTAAAAGAAACGCTTAGGGAGATTTTTGCTTTCAGTAAGTGGACAGAATTTAAACATGGCTTTAATGTTGCCTGCTTAATGCCCAGTGGAGTACCATTCCAAGAGCAGTATTCAGGCTAACCTCTGACAAACCCTGTTTGCAAAGCATTGTGGGTAAGACTTGCCTAGTCAGAATGCAAGGCTAACCCCACCCCACCCCCAGACAACCCAGAAGAGGGTACATTCTCTGCCTCCTAACCGCAGGGGGGTCCCAGAGCACATCAAGGAGAAAGGTGACAGGTTCAAGCTCTCCCACAATATACATACTTCACACAGTCCTGGGAGCCCTTGGGGATGTCACTGATTCAATTTTCTTCTAATGTGGCTCATCTGGATACAGGATCCAGTGACTCTTTAAAAAGCTTCTCTTGTTTAACCTCACACCAAGTTGGAGACCACATAACCAACAGGAACCATCAAACATTGAGCATTAAAAGAAAATTGACCAACACACACACACACACACACAATTCATCTTTAAATCTGCCTGATTTTATATGCATGGATATGAACCTATGGATCGTTACTCTCTCCAGAGTGGCAGCAGCTGTCACCCAAGCCAGCCACCTCCCTGGGACCCGGAGGCAGCTCTGCCTCCACTTATAATTGGGAACAGAGATACTCCTTGGGTGACTTCCAGCACGATCCATCACACCAGAGACAGCTTCTGTGCAAACCGGAGCAAATCGGTTTCCAAATAAGAAAGGAAAAAAACCTCTTAGACAAACAAGGATTGAAGCATAGGAAGTCAAAGAAGAAAAGAAATAAAACATGCCACAAATAAAAGGAGAGGAGGAAAAAAAAAAAGCACTGTGGCTTCTCCCCAGGCTCCGGACAGGACAGCCATCCTCTCGGGTGCAGATCAAAGCCATGAGCTTTTGACACAGGTGCCCTAAGCCTGCCACCCAATGCACCAAAAGAAAAGCTTCCACTGGGTCGTTGGAGCCACTGAGCTCATTAACAGGATGCAGGCAAGATGAGTCTGAAAGTACGACATGGGAGTAGAGTGAGTAATTAAATCCCAGGTCATTTAAAAATGCAAACGCCTTGGATGTCACAGGCTCCCTGAGCCTCTGACTCCTTCTCCTTCATTATTAGGCTAAGGATGGAAGACTGGGAACCTGCAAGTCATATATAGATTATAATAAAATATGCTGTAAAAAAAAACAGATTAAGACAGGTCTTCTTTGGGGAAATATACAAAGAGAGAAGCTGTCTGTTAGCTGTCGAGTTTGCAAGAGATACCATCTTTCGGGAGGCTGGGCTCTGCCAACAGACAGGCTGCCCCAAGGGAAATTGTGGTGAAACACCCCGACAAGGCGCATCCATCCGTCTATCCATCATGGGCTCCCTCTGACACAGGGGCCTGGAGATAGAGTCATGGTACAGAAAGGGGGAGGAGAGAGCCCACAGACAACAGCAAAAAAAAAAAATCTCCTGCTAGCATGTGAGTACTCAGGGGTTTTTGTTGTCATGGTTGTTTTTTAATGCCCGTCTCTAGTTTTTCTTTAAAAATACAAATGTGCCATTTTCTCTTCTGGGTGCTTATTATTTTGAGGAGTTAAGCTCATCATATGTCCTTGGATTTATACATCAACTTACACCAAGGAGCAAGGAGCTTCAAAATCGGGATTTTATTTATCCCTAGCAGACTCTCAGGCTTATAGAGCAAAAGGGAAAAGATAAGGGAGAGGGTCTTTTTTCCAGCCGAGCAAGATGCCCAAGGAAAAGAAGGCTAAGAGGAAGAGGGTGGCCCCAACCCACACCATCATGAAGAAACAGGAGGCCAAAAAGATGGTGAATCCTTTGTTTGAGAAAAGGCCTAACAACTTTGGCATTGGGCAGGACAGCCAGCCCAAAAGAGATCTCACACGCTTCATCAAATGGCCCCGTTACATTCAGCTGCAGCGGCAAAGGGCCATTCTCTATATGAGTCTCAAAGTACCTCCTGCCATTAACCAGTTCACCCAGGCCCTGGACCAGCAAACAGCTACCCAGCTGCTTAAGCTTACCCACAAGTACAGGCCAGAGACAAAGCAGGAGAAGAAGCAAAGGCTGTTGGCCCGTGCTGAAAAGAAAGCTGCTGGCAAAGGAGATGTCCCAACTAAGAGGTCACCTGTCTTTCAAACAGTGACCACCTTGATGGAGAAGAAGAAGGCTCATCTGGAGCTGGTGGTGATCACCCACAATGTAGACTCCATTGAGCTGGTGGTCTTCCTGCCTGCCTTGTGTCAGAAGATGGGGGGCCCCTACTGCATCATCAAGGGAAAGGCCAGGCGGGGGCGGCTGGTCCACAGGAAGATATTCTCCACTGTTGCCTTCACACAGGTTAACTCGGAAGACCAGGGTGCTCTGGCTAAGCTGGTGGAAGCTATTAGGATCAATTACAATGACAGATATGATGAGATCCACTGCCACTGGGGAGGCAATGTCCTGGGTCCTAAATCTGTGGCTCAAATTGCCAAGCTGGAAAAGGCAAAGGCCGAAGAACTCACCACTAAACTGAGTTAAATGTATACTCACTGCTAAGTTTTCTGTACATCAACATAATTACAAACTTTAAAAAGAAAAAAAAAGATAAAGGATAGGGACCAGAGACCTGATTTCCAGCAAGGGTGGCAGGCCCAAGAATCCATCTGTTGGTTCCCTAGGAAGACCTTTTCTTGGCTGCATTTGACTTCCTGGTTTATGACTCATAAAGCCTAAAATAAATGAGGTTCTCATTGAGAATCTGTCACCCAGGCTGCAGCCCTCAGGCCCTTTACAGCTAGTGTTAGAATCCCAAGATACCTACACAAGAGAACCATCATTCCCCCAGTGGCTCCTGCTGCACCTGCCGACACTCCTCTAAGGAGGCACTAAGGTAAGCAAGTTCTAGAATTTGAGACTAGTGCTGCAGAGAAGCAATTCCACAGACCTGAGGCACAAAGAAACATCCATGATATCAAAGGAAGTCACTGCTAGGCCAGCCCACAGGATGAGTAAGGACTGCGGCACAGGAAGGCAGAGAGAGGCATCATGGTGGCAATAGGCTGGGTGGAGGAGACATTTCCCAGGGTGTGTAGGACCCACTGGAGAAGATTACAAGGTTTCGGATAGGACGAATGCGGGTTCTGGAGATCTGTGGAATGGCATGGTAACTGCTTATTAATAATGCATTGTACTTAAAATTGCTGAAGGAGTAGATCTGAGTGTTCTCACCACAAAAAAAAATGAACTATATGAGGTGATAGACATGTTCATGAGTCTTATCGAATCATTTTACAGCATCCCTATATATCAAACATCAGGTTGGGTGGGAATGTGGCTCACTGCTAGAGCACTTGCATACCATACCCAAGGCCCTAGGTTCAATCTCCAGAATCACACCACACACACACACACACACACACACACACACACACACACACACACACGCTTGTACTTCACACACAGACACAATCCCATGGTCTCCCCACCCCCCCTCCACTCTAAATATACCTTTATAAAGCTTGGAACAGTTATAACTATAATAGTTCAGAAGTGGGGTTGTAGTTCAGTTGGTAGAGTGCTTGCCTAGCATGCACAAAACCCTGGGCTCCATACCCAGTACAATACAAAATGGATGTGATTACCCACACTTATAAAGATCAGGAGTTCAAGACCATCCTTGGCTACACCACAAGTTCAAGGCTAGCTTGCACTCCATGAGATCCTGACTGTAAATAAGTAAAATGCAGTTCAAAGGGGTTGAAGCAACTGGCTATTTGGGGGATAAAATCTCAGTTCTACTACCCTAAACCACAGAGTTCACTTTGAATGCCTCATCTGTAAAACTGAGAGAACAAAGCCCAACTTGCACTGTTGCTAAGGACCAAATGAGACAGCAGTTGTAAAAGATCTGAGCCCTGTAGATGGTCCAGAGTTGGGCTCCCTTCTTTCCTCCTCTTCTACCCTCCCTCTTCTTGGGCTCCTCGGCCCAAACTCCCTACCTCCCAACACTCTCAGGTCACCAGACAGAAGATGTGGAGAATGAACACAGCTCCAAGCAGAGACATGGGCCCTGCCCCAATGCCAGGGCAGGTACAGCCTGCAGCTGTGGAGGAGACAACAGCAGCACAGTAGAAGGCACCCTGCCTGTTTGTTTATTTGACAGATAGGGCTGTGTACTTACTAAGTACCGGGCTGTCCCAGGTACTTGGGACACAGCTGTGGATGAGGGAAAAGTCCTCCATGGAACTTACATTCAAGTTCAGAAGAGATGATATGTGTGAGGAGGAATATAAGAAATGAGTGAGTGAAGTCTGCAGTCTGACAGTTGGTCATTGGTGCTTGGAGAAAAGACAGAGCGCGGCAGGGAAAGTGGCATGTGGCATGATAGGAGGGCAGAGATCCTTTTAAACATGGCCAGGAGAGCATAGACCTGGAAGAGGAGTGAGAAGGGGCCTGCTCTGATGTCCACACAAAGACATCACAGGCAGAGGGTCATTTGTGCGTGTGCCCTGAAGCTGCCATTTGCCTGGAACACACACAGTGAGTCCGGGACTCACAGGAGGGCAGCTCAGAGTTATAGGGACTTTTAAGTGCTGCATAGGTGGCCGCAAGAATACCCGCTTCCACCCTGATGTGAGGGTAAGCCACAGGAGGTTCTGAGCAAAGGATAGCAGGATAATGCCTATATAGGAACGGCCTCCCTGAATTGGGGTGGGGACAGAAATGGGAAGACTGGTTAGGAGGTTCTATACTACATACAGAGCCCCAAGATAAGCCTGTGCTGGAAGGGAGCTGGAGAACAGGGACAAAGCTCTGTCCTCAAGGACCTTAGATTCTCCTTGTCAGAGCCATCCAGATTGCAGTGGGCAGGAGTCCCCTGGTCCTCAAGCAAGGGGGGCTTCCCCACATAGCAAACCTGTCCCAAGGCCAGATGTCCAATGCTGGGGGCGGGGGGCAAGGTGTGGATCCTTATGTGGGCAAGTCCACAGAGCAGTAGTTCCCCAAGAAGAAAGCAGACCAGCAGAAGACAGGCTGGGGCAAATGGGCCTGCCCTAGCGTATCACATTGTGGCTATCTGCCCTAGCATATCGCAGGACAGCAGCTAGAGTAAAAGCAGCCAGTGGGTCCCACAGCCAGGTTCCCAGAACTCTCCTCAACATAGAAGATGCTAGAATGAGGCTTTGGGGGAAAACTCAGAGGTATGATGTGTTCCTGCTCCAGACCAGACAGAGCACAATTTCCCTGCAGTGCAGCAAGCTGTCTGCAGCAATCTCGTCACTGATACTGGGGAGTGTCACAGGGTTAGTGGAGGCCCCTAGGCTCACTCCACAATGTCTGGAGAGGCAACACCACTGTGCCTCCTCACACTGCCTCCCTACCACATGGCCCTTAGAATGCCCCTAAGAAGCTACCATTATCCACATTTCACACATGAAGAATCAAGGTCAGATCATCCAGATAACTTGCCCAAGCTCCCAAAGCTAGTGGTTGGGGGAGTCTGAGCTTGTACTCGGGCCTTGGGATATCTATCCGGTGGTTTTTCTCCAATAGATTATGAGAAAAGAAAAGAACACTGGAAAGGGTCTACAACCTATGACTAAATAGAGAGCCAGGACAATGGTGGAGCTGGACAGGAAGCCCAGCTTGGCCAAGGCTTCTCCTCCCTCTCTTAGCCGCCCTCATCCATGAAAGGACATATGAGAGCTCAGTATGACCTCCCAGCATCATTTAACAAATCCTTATCATCCTTCTACCATGCACCAGGCCTGGTGTTGGCTGCTAGCGATACAGATGAAGAAGATGGGTCCCTGCCCTATACCTGTCAGTGAGAAGAAAGAGGTGCAGGAGGTGGGTGGGGGTAATGGCAGACTTAAGTGATTCTGAGGTGTGTAGCCCCTTCTCTAAACATGGTTCTCTGGCCCATCTATGAAATAAAGCTTTGGAAACTGTAGCAGCCATGTGGCTACCCTGCCCACCTCCAGCTGTAGGCCTGTGTCCCTTGCCAAGAACACAAGCAGTGACACGGACGCTTAAATTCTGCCAACCCCAATTCTGCCCCTGAGACCTAAGGGTAGTCCAGGAGCAGGTCCTAGGGACATAGGACAGCTGAAACATGAAGTGGACTGGAGGCCTGCCCACCTCTCCCCCAGCTACCTTACTCCTGGGGCCACCAAGAGCAAAAGAGGCAGCTCATGCAGGCATCTGGATAGATGGCTGCAGGCTCTGACATCGCAGGAAAGAGATAAATGACAGGTCGTTTCCCCTGATGCACTTGAAGGAATCTATTCTCCAGGCCATACCAAGCTCAGACACCCCCACACACAGGCAGATAAACACTGACAGATGGGGGTGGGAGCCTGTGTCCTTCTCCCTTGGAAGGACACAGCAGCATCCGTGGCAGGCCCAGCAGAAGGTCACACTGGCCACTGGCTCACACCTAGCTCCAGGCTTTCCTTGTCTCTTCTTCACATACCTCCCTTGTGCCCACCCCCCCCACCTGACTCATCCATCTAAGGAGTGCCTGGCAGAGGGGGAGGGTTGGGGGCACTGGAGCCCGCCGACAGCCCCATCAATCTCAACCTACATGCTTGGCACATCAGCGTTCCTTAAGCTGTTCCTGGACGGGAGGGTGTTGGAGGATCCGGGGGAACTGTCTTGGGGAGAAGAGAAATCACATCGAGCATCAGAGAGCCAATGGTGGAAGAAGCCCAGAGACTATTAAAATGTGGGCCATGTACAAAGACAGTAGGGAACTAATTAAGATGCAGGATTTGCAAACGCTGGGGAAGTTGGCCACAGCCTGCTCCCATCTGTAGAGTTCTGGCAGTTCTGTGCAGCAGGGACAGAACCCTAGGCAGGCTCAGGCCTCTTTCTGGACTTTTCCTTTAAGGACACCCTTCTGAGGGTCTTTGTAACTGGCTTGTTGGCTGGCTTATGGCTTTCTCTGTTTGGGAGCATCCCGAGCTACAGTCTCCTTCAGGGCTCCTGCCCTCCTGTAAGTTTCCCCCTGCAGCCCAAGGAGGGAAGTAAGTATATCCTGGTCATTCATCCCCAGTCATTGAAAAGCTGCCCAAAACAAGAAAACGAAGAGAAAGAACCAGAACTCGTTTCTGGCTGCCTTCCCTCTTGTTACCCTTGAAATTCACAAGGGAGGAAAAGAGCCTGCTGGTGCCTGAGCGTTGCAGGCCAGAGGCACTGACAAGGGCTCAGGTTCTCCAAGAGCAGGAGAGAGTTGGACATCCAAAGCCTGCGAGCACCAGATGAATGTGTGTGTTGGGTTCTGAAGAGAATGATGACCATCCTGACCTGCTCCCTTTAGTGTCTCTTTTTGGCTGACCATGGACCCTTGAGAAATTAACTTCCTAATCTGTGCCACAGTTTCCCAACCTCTAAAATGAAGATAATATCTTCCCGAGACCGCAGGGACCAAAGGTCTGGAGTTGAAAGATGCTAAACTAGCTGAGCATTTAAGAGGGATATTAAGGAAAAGTTTGTTAGCAACCTTTTTCTTTCCTTCTCCAGAAAAAAAAAGTTAACGG